TCAGTCCCATACCCTGATTGGTCAGAAGCACATGAGTTACACATTTTATTTTCTCAAAATCCAAAATTCCTTCCTATCTCATATGTCGGCATGCACATGGCACATCCCGTTGACATTCCATCAAAACCGTTCAAAATCTTGGCGTTTGTCCACCGCCAACCATGTCGAGTCCATCATAGGCCTCACAACTCCTACCTCATGTGTTGTCATCCACAAAAACCTCTCCAAAATGCTCCAAAGCATGCTTTAAAAAAACTTTACAAAACTCATGTTGAAATTATGTTTTCACTGCCTCAGACTCATGAGCTAGGAGTTATGTATGAAATAATGGTCCAAATGTACTTTTCCACATGAGATAGGACTCATGATTTTCGAGATGCTTCCGCTAACTCCTTAGTCATCAGTACTCAGTATAATTAAACGCTATCACGGCTATCGCATCATACATGAACTTTGTCGAACATGTGGATTCCTCGAGATCCCTTGCACTGTATAGCCAGGTTTGAGCTTAGGGGGTGCCAGTGCAGTGCAGGTTTGACTTTCACAAGTCAAACTGAACATACTTTTTGCGAACGTTTTCATCGGGCGTGTGGGTTCCGCAGGAGGGCTCCTGCATTCAAGGCGCATACCACTGCGTCCGGACGAGTTCGTCGATGTTCACAGTGGTATGGCGGCGCGCGCCGCCCCGGCATGCCGGACCAAAGTCTTCGGCACTCCGGACATTGTGACACTGCCCCTTGGGCGCGCTCGGTCAGCGCCTGCCAAAGAAATTCCGACAAAGTGGAGTCGATCCAATGGCGGCATCAACTTACCCGATTGAAGCAGCCACGGCATATGGCACGCTTGCATATTGAGCGCGCATGGATGTCTTCCCAGCAGCAGACGCACGTCATGAGCGCAACTTCAAACACTGTACCATACTAATGTATCATTAAACAATTAAACGTCATTAAACGCTATCACGGCTATAGCATCCATGATACATGAACTTTGTCGAACATGTGGATTCCTCGAGATCCCTTGCACTATATAGCCAGGTTTGAGCTTAGATGAAACACTGATTGATGAGAAACCGCCCAAGAAGACGTGACAACCGGGGGTGCCAGTGCAGTGCAGGTTTGACTTTCACAAGTCAAACTGAACATACTTTTTGCGAACGTTTTCATCGGGCGTGTGGGTTCCGCAGGAGGGCTCCTGCATTCAAGGCGCATACCACTGCGTCCGGACGAGTTCGTCGATGTTCACAGTGGTATGGCGGCGCGCGCCGCCCCGGCATGCCGGACCAAAGTCTTCGGCACTCCGGACATTGTGACACTGCCCCTTGGGCGCGCTCGGTCAGCGCCTGCCAAAGAAATTCCGACAAAGTGGAGTCGATCCAATGGCGGCATCAACTTACCCGATTGAAGCAGCCACGGCATATGGCACGCTTGCATATTGAGCGCGCATGGATGTCTTCCCAGCAGCAGACGCACGTCATGAGCGCAACTTCAAACACTGTACCATACTAATGTATCATTAAACAATTAAACGTCATTAAACGCTATCACGGCTATAGCATCCATGATACATGAACTTTGTCGAACATGTGGATTCCTCGAGATCCCTTGCACTATATAGCCAGGTTTGAGCTTAGATGAAACACTGATTGATGAGAAACCGCCCAAGAAGACGTGACAACCGGGGGTGCCAGTGCAGTGCAGGTTTGACTTTCACAAGTCAAACTGAACATACTTTTTGCGAACGTTTTCATCGGGCGTGTGGGTTCCACAGGAGGGCTTCTGCATTCAAGGCACATACCACTGCGTCTGGACGAGTTCGTCGATGTTCGCAGTGGTATGGCGGCACGCGCCGCCCCGGCATGCCGGACCAAAGTCTTCGGCAAGCCGGACATTGTGACACTGCCCCTTGGGCGCGCTCGGTCAGCGCCTGCCAAAGAAATTCCGACAAAGTGGAGTCGATCCAATGGCGGCATCAACTTACCCGTTTGAAGCAGCCACGGCATATGGCATGCTTGCATATTGAGCGCGCATGGATGTCTTCCCAGCAGCAGACGCACGTCATGAGCGCAACTTCAAACACTGTACCATACTAATATATCATTAAACAATTAAACGTCATTAAACGCTATCACGGCTATAGCATCCATGATACATGAACTTTGTCGAACATGTGGATTCCTCGAGATCCCTTGCACTATATAGCCAGGTTTGAGCTTAGTGCTGTGGTGGCTGGCATACAACGCAGGAGCATTTGCACAGGAAAGGTGGCGTGGGAAACTTGGGACGGGCCTTGTTGCAGGATGTCATTAAGTCCCATCTTCTTGGATTTTTCAACAAATGGTCCCGACACGGCAGAGGGCGTTTGGAGCTCGGTTTGCTCTCCTTGCGCCGCAAAAAAAATACAAAACGTACGTGGGGATATGTGACGCGTATGTTTGTGAGGTGGAGACCAACTTCGTGTTCTTGCTCAAATTCTACGCCTCTACGCAACCTTTGCAGCGGGAGGGATCCCTTATATGACTGATTTCCAGCCTTTGATGGGTGAGTTGATGGATTTCTACAACGCACCGTTGGTGTGCAGCGCAGGAAGTATTCTACCAGCTGGCCTAGACCTATGGGTTCTTTGCACCGAAGACAAACACGTGTTGTGAAGGACCTTCATCCATGTCTCGAGTCTCTGATTGTTGAGTTCAAAGGCGCCCCTCAAAATATTGTGCCCACGCAAAAAAACCAATCATTTGAATCATTTGATTCTATTGCATTGCTGGTGCGGGAGTGGAGTCGGACGAACACTGCCTTAACCAGGGCCGTGTGCGTGTGCATGGCATGAGCCTAGCTACGAGATCTGTCCCCTCGAGGACGCTTTTTGCGTCGAGAAAACCTCGTAAATACCGTGGCTTTGAGCACTCGGTAGCTCAAAACCATCGGCATTTACGTCGCTTCCTGGCGTAAAAGCGAAAAAACTACGCAAACAGCATTGCTTTAAGCCACTTTTGAAGCCTCGAGCAGCAAAAAACATAAAAGATTTACCGTGCTTTCAATCTTTTTGGTCATTAAAAAAACACTCTCCACCACCAGCCTGAGGAAGTGCCTGATCTCTTTTCACTTGCGCGCGGGCACGCTGGCGCGACGCATGCGAAAGGAACAACAGCCATAATAACCAAGCAAGAAATACAAAGGCACAGGACAGCAACCGGCATCGCCGTGCCGGTCTGCGAAGCTCTACAATCTATAACTGTGCTACACTGCACCACATCACATCTCTCACCGCAGCAGAACAACACTTTTTATGTCACCACGTCACGAACCGCCACAAACATCATCACATGACCCTGCACACCTCAATCATCAATGACAATTTATACAATTGATGCTTAGAAACTTCCACCCACCGGCTCTGAGGGCGGATTACCTCGTATACTTGGAGATCTTCAAACTCATTGCGTGACCAAGTCAGGCAAGTGGCGAAATCTCTGAATCATTCTCCACATCCTCAATCAAGCAATTGGCATGAACAGTTGCCAGTAGCTTTTTGTTACTGGTAACTAGTAGTAAGGCCAGGAGCTACTAGTAGCGTGCTTGCTCCTAGTAGCGATGCCCTTTGTTACTAGTACAAGTAGCGTCCTCTTGCTTCTTGTTACTGAAATCGTTTCAGTTGCCAGTCCTTTCGGCTACAAAGAATATCCAAAGTGTCAGGCGTGGAAGCCTGCACAAAGAGTCGTGACTTCCGAGTGCTGGCACAAGCGGAGTCACGTTATGGTGAGTCTAGCGACGTCTAGTTTCCGGGGTGGAAGTTGGCAGGAGTTATGCGAAAAAAAGAGCTGTTTTGTTTGGATGGCCTACCTAGTAGAGATGGCCTCCACCTACCGAAACGACTTGCTTTTTGTTCCAATTATAATTAGATTCTATTTAAATGTAATTCTTATACTTATTTCTAATAGCTTCTTGTTACTAGTAGCGATGTCAATTGCACTCCGGCCTCGATCAGCACCTCTGCCGTGACGTAGTTCTTTACGATAATCGCAAGATGCAAAGGGGTCAAGTCGTGCCAAAGCCAGGGCTCCTTGAACCAGGAATCTTCACCAGCTGGAAAAAGGTTTTAATTACTGCCCCAAATACCCCTTTCTATTGGTACGTACCCTGTGAGACGAACGCAAAGACGAAGCAGGACGCAAAACGGTGCCCTGACCTTCTCAGGATTTCCATCTGATTCCAGCGTTGCCCAGAGTTGCTGACACGTTGCTCCCAGGAGTTCCTGCCCAACCGTGAAAAGGCGAAGACAAAAGAAAGTAGTAGCGTCCTTGCTCCTAGTAGTAAGGCCAGGAGCCCCTAGTAGCGTCCTTGTTACTACTAGTAAGGCACTTGTTCCTAGAAGCGATGCACTTGTTCCTAGTAGCGTCCTTGCTCTTAGTAGTAAGGCCAGGAGCCCCTAGTAGCTTCTTTTTCCTAATAGCTTCTCATTACTAAGAAGCTTCAAAGACATATTAAAAGCTTCCGGTTACTAGTGGCCTCCAACCTAATAGCGATGGCCTCCACCTAGTAGCTTCTAGTTACATCTAGTTACTAGAAACTTGAAAGTGTCGAGTAATCAAATACTTTGGTTGCATACTATTGCATGCATACTTGGCAACATCAAGTATGCACCGCCCACCAGGCGGTATACAGGGATTGAGCATGTTGACACAATTCAATTGGTTGGGTGAGATGCGGTGTGCCGTGTGACACTCTGATACTTGATGCATCTTGATGTTGTTTTGCCATTTTGTTTCTAATTAATAGCGACGGCCTCCAACCTACTAGCGAGAGAGTCCCCCCAAAAAAACAGAACAACGAGAAAGTACTTTTCCCTTTTTGTTTCTTGGTCTGTCTTGCGTCATTTTCTCCTACAACATACCTACAATATGTAAGAGTCGCAGGTCGACAATGACAATGTGCCCCCCTAATGTATTTTCGATGACTCTCTCCTCATCACTATGCTTTGCCGGGCATTGGCTTGATTAGTCAGCTCCCGGCTGAGATGATCACCTTTCTGACCTTTGTCTCTTGAAATCTGGCCTTGAATTGCGGCGGCCGCTTCTCATTGGGGAAGACCAAAGGTACATCGCCGCTACCTTCACCAACAAACGCCAGGGCTATGGCCTCAAGTATAACACGTGTGGCTGGGCTACGCGGAAAAGAAGTGAAGAGCTTGCCAACTTCATGACACAGAACTGGTTGACTCTGAAAGCTTAGGCCGGTTTCCCCCCCAAAAAAACATCCAAGTGGCATCGAGATCCAGCAACGCACAAAGGTGCAAAGGCGTCAGGCCTGTCAAAACATGATTCGTCAACGCCCTTCAAGATATACAGTTGACATAAACATGCAAGCTATATTGTTCCTTGCATGATCGTTTTTGGTGTGGCAACTAGGGCATATAAATGGCGTCTCTTGCTCGAAGACATTGTGAAAGGTTCGGAGTGTTTCTTGCAATCCATTGCACCTCGGAAGCAGTTGTCCGCAATGGAATAGTGCTTGGGCACCTGCAAGATGCAAACACACACTATATATATATATACATATGCAGGTCCGGTGCTGTCTTTGACCAAGGTATGTATAATCCCCATGGCACTTGTGGTCTGCTAGCCAAGGCAAGCCACAACGCTGAAAACCACTCTGGCCACTCAAATCTTGCCAAGAAATCCATGTAGGTTTGAGGAGGATCATCTGGTAAATCCTTATGTTGTACCTTGTTGCACAAAGCCCTGAACAAACACTTGCGACTCGCGACGATGTTGTTCAATGACAAGACTTGTTGTACCACTTTGCTGGGCATCCAAACACTTGTATCACCAAAGATCAAACCCGAGAGCTGTCGCTGTCGACCTTTTCGGCTGCGCAAAGATGAGATCTTCATGAGGCATCCCCTCGAGGCCCTCGACTTTTGGCAACCGTAAAAGATCAAGGATGTAAAAGCCAGCACGCTTCAGCAAGCCGCCTTAGCTATCTTCGCTCGGGCTTGCGCCAAACGATGGTCTTGCACTCTTTGAAAACCAGAAGAAAGAACACCCCGTGAAAACCTGAAGAGAGAGACCTTGGAATTCACTGGTTAGCCAAGTGACAATAATCGCCAAGGGAGCCACCAAAAATGTCTACCTCGTCTATAGCGTAACCTGAGCAAATCTGGCTGCGAGCATTCTTTCCAATATGCTGTGTTGATGTTCATTCTCTATATTATGCTTATGGTTGTTGATGGTTTGTGTATTCTCAATGTACCCAGATAATGTAGAGGAGGGATGTTTGACGCAGGCGAAGCATACCTCTGAAGCAGGCCCATAGTCAAGCATCCTAGCCCCGGAATGTCAAAATCATACACTAGCTGCCGGAGATGATTGAAAAACCATTTATATAATATCAAAATGTGTTCAACCGTGACAGCGAATATTTAGCCATGATACTGAGATGGTTGTCGGAATGTTGCAAGATCAGCAAACTCTCCGAATCGCGTAGTTGCTCCCGCCAAGCTCGCAGGGCTTTGAGCGGATTGTAGGAATGGTCCAAGGTGTTGCTATAAACAAAATCCCAGTTTTTGAGGCCAAGACGTTCGTCTCGACGGTGAAAATCCAGAAGAATCACATCGCCACCCGAGGCAGCAGCTGCCTCGGGAGTGATGTCAGTGCCCAGAATGGTCGAAAGCACTCCATGTCTTTTCAAAGCTTCTCTGATAAGACGTACTTCTGCACCAGTCTTGGCCCCGTGGCATAGGCCCGAGAGAGGCACAAAGGCGCTCCCACTCCCACTTCGTGCCACATACAGTGCAACCACCTCTGCAGCACGCTGAGAGATGAAGCGCATTCCGATTTCACGGGACGCCTTTTCTTGCTGCAACTCCTGGTAGCGGCGGTAATTCCCCGTGTACAACGTCTGGACGCGAAGCTCATGAAGCTCTTCAGATTCTTCCGCTTGAAAACAACGCTGTGTCTGCCAATGTGGGCGCATGCGGCAGTGCCAAAGTTGTTCCTCAGCATTTGCCGCCTTCTCGCATCTTGCTGTGGGTTTATAGGGCTCTAGACAGCAAGTTTCGTAAGTAAAGAACAGGTTCCAGCAGCCGTTGGCTTTGGCTTTTTCTTGACTGCCGCAGCAAGCTACGTAATCGTATCCGCCACTCCAACACACTGGATTTCCTCGTGTGCCGTTGTCCTGGACCATCCCGACCACTTCGCTGAGAGTTACAGATCCAAATAGAAAGCATATGGAGGCTGCGGTCAGCTTTGCCATTGGTCTAGCTAGAGGCTGCAAAGTTAGAGGCTAGAGGCTGTGTCTTCAGAATTAAATCTGTCAAGACCGGAAAAAAAAAAACATCAGAAACTCATTTGTATTAGAAATGTCTGCCGACTAACGGTTTTTCCCGCTCAAGAATCGACTTCAGCAATGTCTTCCATTCAATCCTCTTGGAGTGCTGCTGGTTATTGTCTGCATGGATAACTCTGGTTGTGAATCAATTTGTGTTTTCTTGAATCTGGCTGGGGCGGGTATGTCAGCTGTCAGTTGCAAGGGGCAACGGTGATGGGAACACACCCGCAAGTTAAATGCGCGTTGTTTGAAGCAAACAGTTCAACACAGTTGGGCAGCTCTACTGTTACAAAATTGCTGCATGTATTAACCCTAAGACACCGTTTCAAGATCTTTCGATGCAATCCTAAAGCAACGAAACACCAGCAAAAAAATGAAGGGATGTCTGTCAAAACAGGTTAACGGTGGCCATCAACCCCAGAACCACAAGTCTAGTATCGGGTCCCATAAAATAATGCATAATGAACCATACTGATACTCTTATCGTGGTCATCTATGATTCAACCACTGGGGATCCACACTACCTTCTGATAAATTGTTGAGTACTTTCGGAAAACAAATCCTTTAGAGCTAAACTTGGCAAAGTAACGCCTCTGAGAAACGGTAATCTTTGCTCATGAACACCAGCCGCGAACGCTTCAGGTACAGTATTCTGTTTGGATGCCTGTTGCTTCTCGTCAATACTATTCAAACCTAACCCTGATGGCATCTGAGCAACAGTTCTATATTGATCTATATTGTATAAGAATATCCCTAGCTCCTTGGCTCCCTTCTTAGTGGAATCTGGTAACCCAGCTCTTTTGCAACCTTGAAGCCATATTTTTTTGGACTTGACCATGTTCCAAGCAACCGGAGCCCATTTATACTGGCGTCTTTAGGGCACCTTGGGTTCTGCATGATTCTACCCCCCACGCTAGATCTTAAGTCCAGAAATTTATTGCCTTGCGCATTCTCAAACGACAGTGTCGAAGCAAACCGCTTCAAAGTGTCCAAGCAAAGCGCTTCAGTCGTGCCGACAACATGCTTGAAGCGGAGTTTCTACTTTTTGGCAACACTTTCAGTCACAACCTAACTATTGAAGTAACTATTGCATCATATTTTCTCTAGGTTGGAGCCCATCCCTTCTAGGTTGGAGGCCATTTCCTCATACTTCCTCCATTTCCAAGCCTCTATGGCAATGTGATCCAGTGGCATCAGCATATCTGCGCCAAGCCTCGCATCGAAAACTTCGATCAACATCACACCTTTGGCAGCAAAATGATTCTATCACAATCCCGCCAACCAAATAAACCTATAACGATGTACAAGTCATGCTCAAAGCAGAAGACTAACTCCCACAAGAAGTTTCTCAAAGACAGAAAAGCCAGGCGTTGCAGGTTATCGCGTTGATCAAACATGCATGGCTTGCAAAGTTAGTTATTAAGATTTTCTGTGAAGAGGGCCTTGCTACTAGGAGCAAGGACGCTACTAGGGTGGAGGAGTGCCTGATCAAGAGCAGTGCCACATCGGCCCGGTGATGGAGTACAGCCAAAGCCAGCGGGGTCAGGCCACGCCATGCCCACAGCAGCTGATTGCCTTGCCCCTGTGCAATGTGTGTTTGACCAGTGCTTTCAGAAGCGATAGCCTTTGGATTCACAATAAAATCAAAGGTGGACAACATGTTGGAGCATTGAAGCATACGATTCCACATGCTGCAATGAATTAAAGTCGATACTCTGAAAGTGCGACAACTGTGGCACCTTCCAAGGCCAAAAGGGAGGCGTGATGTCTGGCACCAGCCCTAGCTTGGTGTTCACATCAGGCAGAAGTTGCTGCTGATCAAGGAATTCCAGCATGTCCAATGTGCCAGCCCGAACGCACAGCATCAAAGGATCCTTCACACGTAGAAAAAAAACAACACATTTTGGCAAGAATCTCTCCATGCTGCCCACCTGCACTTTGTCTTGAACACCATTCAATCATGTTGCGTCATGTCCTCTTCTCGAACATCTAGGAATCTACCAGTGACATCGTCAAATCTTCATGCTTCTGCCAAGGGTCCAAGTCCATGCCTTGCAAGAGAGGATCCTCTGGCGCATCCAGCACAACTTCCCGCACAACACCCTCAAAGGCTGCACCAGCCTCCAATAGCAGCTGCCTGAGATCGAAAACTCATCATCCGACTCATCCCAATCATTTTCGCACTCACATGTTTTTTAATGCAAACAAGAACAAACTCTGACTTTGCTGTTGTGCCGTAAAGGCCAGGCCATAGGTCTTGGATTTCCCCAACTTCTTCAATCGATGCAATACACCATGGATTACCGTATACGGTATGCAGCATATATGCCGAATCTCTCCATGCAGTGGCCCTAAATGGATCGGAACGATCACATCTGTGCCTCCGTGCCCGGCAAAATACTCTTTCCAGCCCGGTGCTATGTATTACTTCCGTTAATCTCCACGGGCTCAAAAGGTGCTGTTCACAGTCACCTTTAGTGCCAGGCGGCAATGCCCAAGGCTGGTCGAAGAGAATGGCTAGCTGAACAGGCCGCACCCCTTCAAAGTAGCTGCGTCCAGTGCTCAACGTCTTTAACCTGCATCGAGCGGAGTCGAGCGATGATGAGCCATGCGCAGCCGGCTATCCCTGGCATTCCTTTATACTCAGCATGTCCGGTAAAATCAAATTGGTCGCCTGTCAAATGTGTCTTACAAAAGTCATCAAACTTCTAGGCATGACGTTGTGCAAAAAGAATAGCTGTCAACATGTTTCAAGTTCTTTAAGTTGAACTTTTCCTCTCTTACCTCTTGCTCTAGAATCTATCACTGAAAAGGTATAAGACTATTCTGCACTTCGCCTCTCAGTGAGCTCCGGAGAAGACAAGGACTTGTTTTCCAGCAAATCTTTCGCAGATTCGAAGTCTCGTGGCCATGTGAAGGCCTGGGGGTGATGGGGGCCGTGGTCGGAATCTCCAAATAGAGTAAATTGTAGAAACATGTAAAGACGCTTTTTCTTGGTGGAGGCCATCGCTACTAGGGTGGTGCTATTTTTCTTTGTCAGAAGAGTCTTGAACATCCAAGAATGGAACATGTCATGATATATAATGTAATGCTTTGAGGTCAAGAGGCAGGACGTCCTCTGTTGTTGCTCAGCAAAACATGCAAATCTCGAGGAAATCTATGGCAGTTATGCCTATGCCAATGCATCTCTGAATGCAACGATATGCAACGGCTCTCTCCTTGCATGGCAGTAATGCTCCTCACCTTGTTGGGATTGGTTCTCTGATCCAACAGGCTCCGCAAAGTCTCTGGCCCCTGCAGGATGGCTGTGACCCAATCCTGCCGCAGGATGTGCCGCAGTCGTTTCTCCGAACTTTGAGAAAACCGTTCTGTCTGTTTAGTCTCCTCAAGACCAATTGGAGAGGAACCACCGAACATCTCGCGCAAAGATCTTCGAGCGAAGGCTGCCTGACAACTGGTCACTATTAGAGGTTCCCCATGCATATCTTCAACTTAACAAGCTGATCCAACTCCAAGCTTGACAAGTTTCATAAACAATCTCCTACAGCTTACAGCTTTCATAAGCTCTCTTAAGTATTCTGCAGCCCGACCTGCCGAACTGCTTCACCGACCTCCGCTCCGTGGTCCATGAGGCTGGAACAGCCCTGTGCCGGAGAACAGGCCGCACCAAATTCATGGCATCGCTACTATAGGAACAAGAGGACGCTACGAACGGGGCTCCTGGCCTTACTTCTAGGAGCAAGGACGCTACTAGGAACAAATGGCAGTAGCTCATTCCATGTTGACAGCTTGCTAACAAGCCTCACAGCCAGTAGCGAGACCCCCGAAAAGCAACAATATGTTTGCTTCCACTGTGAGATACTGTCAGCAAACACGACTTCGTTCCATCAACCACGCATGCAAGACGTGCACGATATAGCCACACACATCGACACATTCCCGTTTTCCGAGGGAGTCATATTGCAGGAGGGACCCACAAACACTCCCTTTGAACCTCATTCTCAAATCACTTAAAGACCCAGTTCTGTTCTCAAATCACTTGTCATGCCATTAGGCTGGAGACCATCGCTCCTAGGATGGAGGCCATCGCAGTAGGGTGGAGGCCATCGCTACTAGGTTGGAGGCCAAATTTGGAGGCCAGCGCTATAGTAGGTTGGATGCCGTCGCTACCGTAGGTTGGAATCCATCGCTATAGTAGGTTGGAGGCCATCGCTATAGCAGGTTGGAGGCCATCGCTATAGTAGGTTGGAGGCCAACGCTATAGTAGATTGGAGGCCATCGTTATAGTAAGTTGGACGCCATCGCTATAGTAGGTTGGAATCCATCGCTATAGTAGGTTGGAGGTCATCGCTATAGTAGGTTGGAGGCCGTAGGTTGGAGGCCATCGCTATAGTATACGAGGCCATCGCTATAGTAGGTTGGAGGCCATCGCGATAGTAGGTTGGAGGCCATCGCTATAGTAGGTTGGAGGCCATCGCTA